ACAACCAATGGCACGAGAGTCTTCCGGAAAGCAGAAGGGATAAGCTTCTAGTTGCAATACTTTGTAAAGGCAAATGTAGCTTAGAGAAGAAGCATTGCCTAAGTTTCATATCATAACGGAAGAAAATGTCCATTTCAATTTCTTGGTACACGTTACTGAACTAATGCTTCTTTGGTTATTGGATCATCTAACCTAGGAACGGAGCCAGAATCTCTAGGAGGAAGGCCTGGGAAGGGCTAGGTTTAAAAGCATCTGAGGTTGATTCTTATTATTGGAAAATTGAGAAAACACTTCAGGTGTTACCCTCCCTGCCTCTATTCCCTGGCTGCTCTCGGTGAGCTCCTTGGATCAGAAACAGGAACATAGGTATCACCTGGAAGCTATTTGAAAAGCAGTCTCTTGGCCTGATCCCAGATTATGAATCAGAACCTGCACTTTCACAAGCTTCCTCGGGTGATTCATGGGCACATTAACATTTCAGAAACAGACGGCACTATTTTTATTTCTCAAATAAAAAGGTAGCTCTCTGCCTCTGCAGAATTCCATCGTTCCCTTCTGCTAAACCGTGGAGACCAAATCAACAGTGCGTTCTGTCCACAACATGAGCATCCTCAAGGAAGATGCACGCCCCCCTCCGTCATTTCTTCCCACCGCCCAAGTGATACTCTCTTCCAACGTAAGATCACTTTGTTTAGGTTCATGTTTCAATCTCATTCGTTCTCACCTTCACAAGTTTTGCCGTCACTTCTTAGCACTCGGCCAACTCCACACTCACAGCGATAGGAGTTTTTGAGGTTTACACAGATCTCACTGCAGCCACCATTGTTTAGCTCACATTCATTTTCATCTGCGAATAGAAACCACACCTTTTACATCCTGCGGAGTGACTAACTCATCCTTTTCACAAGCTCCTTAGTGAACCCTCCTTTCAGAACATTGGGGTACACCTTCCACAACCCTGGGGCATAGTGTTTACCGGTTGGGCTGCTAACCACAAGATCAGCAGTTTGAAACCACCAGCTGCTTCACGGGAGAAAGATGAGACTTTCTCCTCCCATGAAGAGTCTTCAAAACCCACCTGGGCAGTTCTACTAGCTCCTAGAGCAGTGGTCCTCACCTTCCGAATGCCGACCCTTTAATACTGTTCCTCATGTTGTGGTGACCCCCCCAACCGTGAAATTATTCTCGTTGCTACTTCATAACTGTAATTTTGCTACTGTTATTAATCAGGCAACCCCTGTGACAGGGTCGTTTGACCCCCAAAGGGGTTGTGACCCACAGGTTGAGAACAGCTGTTGTAGGCTGACAGCAGAACATGTACACAATCCCAAAGCTCTTAATATCTGAAAAATACTCTCACTCCCCTCTCAGATCTAAATTTCTACTCAAATTAAAATTGTAGGTGGGGCTTGGAAATGCTCGGGGGATAAGGGAATTAAAAGATAATGGAATTTTGGGAACCCTTCAGACTAGCGTTGTCCAAGAGAAATAGCAAACAGGCCCCATAGATAGCTTTCAATTTTCTAATAGCCACATTTTATAAAGTTAAAAAAAGAGGCAAGTAACACTAATTTTAATAATATAGTCTCTTTAATCCAGTAAATCTGAGAGGGTTTCGTTTCAATATGTAAGCAATACTCGTGACGGGATAGTTTGCTTCTTTTCTCTGCATGTATTTATAGCTGATGCTAATGTTTCATTAGGAATACTTGACTTAAGTTTAAACTCATGAAATTTACTGTGAGCTACTCAAGTTGGGTTAACCATTTTTAAAAACAAATGTATTTTCCAGTGACTGAATTGAGTATCAGTTTTAAATGAATAAAAATAAATGGAATGAACATTCAGTTTTTCAGTGACACTAACGGTGACTAACCCCATTTCAAGTGCTCCACTGCCACCTGTGGCCAGTGGTGACTCTACTGGACAGTGCAGTTCTAGCCTGGTCCTAATCACTCGATACATTGGGCTTGAACCAAATATCCCCCCACAGTGTTCAGGATCACCTAAACCAAAGAGCTCAGAGGCAGGAAGAGCTTTTCCTTTGTCCCTTTAATCCCAGGAGTGTGTTTCTACTTCACAATTGCTGCTCACCAAAGCACGTCTGCTTGTCAGGACCCAGCCTGGTCCCAGGAGCGCACGCGCAGTCACTGGCATCCGGGCAGTTCCCATTGCAGTCCTCATCACAGATGTCATAGAAGTCTACGAGACAGAAAGACTGCGCGTTGGTGTGGGGACCATGCGCTCGCTCGTGGAGAAAATTCCTTGCCAACACCAAGGGAATTCTCATTGACCTGGATTTACATAATCCAATAAACTGCTTAGGAACACCTATCACGATGATCAGTGATTCTCAAAAATATATATTTTTTTTCTTTTGCGGGGGGAGGGAGACCCCTTCCATCCCCCCGCCACATAAAGCCAGCACCAAGTATGAGCTATAGACTGGAAAACAGATAGACAGGCCTCCATTAGGCACTCTTGTTTCCCAGCTCTCCAGGTGGCACAGTGGCTAACACTGGGCTGCTATGTGACAAGGGTAAAAAAGGCCTGGCGCTGCTATGCTACCCTATCGATGCCAACCAGCAATCCGACCGGGAGGTTCTCCTCTGTAGCACAGGGTCACCGGGAGTCAGAATCACCTGACAACATACATTTGCCCCCTAGGGATTCTATTTCTAAATGGATATAGATTTTGGCAGCATACAGCATTTTTCTTCTAGGTATTCTATTGTTTAAATGTCCGTATATAGATTTTGATGGGATTAATTATACAGAAGCTCATTTAAAAATTGCTGAACTGATCTCAAGTAGCTTATCATTTTTCTACATATATACTTTTAAAATCAATGGGTAGTAAGTTCAATGCTACCTTATGATGTAGTAGATATATACATATATACTCGTGTATAAGCCGAGTTTTTCAGCACATTTTTATGCAGTCATTGTGGTAAAATTAGGTGCCTTGGCTGATATTCAGGTCAGCTTATACTCGAGTATACATACACACTTCAAAGAAAAATTCCATTATCTTTTAGTTGCATTTTCTCCACAAGCTGTGGAGGCCTTTCATATATTAGGGTAAGTAAACATGTATTGCTACTAGGGTTCCAATTTAATCATGTATGAGTTTATTCCAAACAAAATGTGTTTAGATGTGTCTCTGCGACCTGAAGACATGTTCTCTCAGTCATACACCCATCTTAGCCTTGTTGGGTGCCTTCAAAACAGAGGTCCAATCAAAAGTGGCTCCCAATGGGGTCTGCTGGGCTAGTAGATTCAAGGCAGAGAGGCCAGCTCAGAAAGTTAGGATGACATATTTGGGGGATCCTAAAGCAGTAATCCAGATATATTTTCTCAAAGGATACAGGATGATCAGAGGGGCTTGTTACAAAGAAGTTTTAAGAGAAGTAAAAGTTGATCAAAAGCAATGATGGCACAATAGCCGCCCTTGAGGGGTTGAGTACCAGGACTGTCAGTGGCGCAGCAGAAGGGGCTGTGTAAGATCTGTACAAATAGCAAAATATAACATAATAAGGGTTCGCAAGGGTGGCAGGGCGGGGAGGGAGGGAAAAAAGAGGAACTGATATCAAGGGCCTCAGGAAGAAAGATAAGGTTTTGAAATTGTTGATGGCAATATATGTACATATCCGCTGAACATAATGAATGTAAAGATTGTTATAATATATGTAAGAATAATTTATAAATTATCAAGGGTTCATGAGGGAGGGGG